TGGTGGAGGTAGTTGATTGCCTGATTCTAGATGGTGATGGCCATACACTTCTCTGTGATGAGGAGTGCCCTCAGGCTGGCAGCTTGCCTCTGGAGCAAGGGTGCCAGCTCAATGCAGATCTCTGTGAGGGTGGTCCACTCATCCAGAAGTTCTGCTGCCACTGACTGTCATCCCAGGTGCCCAAAATTATGTGCTCTCACCAGTTGCTGCTCATCTCTCTGGCTCAAAGTGCTGGTACATGGTCTGCATATAGTCCCATGGCAGGCTGGCCTCCATGGTGTCTTGAATACTGTCATCATCCTCAGGCATGTAAGAGTCTGTGGTGAGCAGGTAGCATGCTTCAAGCAGGTGCCTTCCCAGGGCCTTGGTCATGTTGCCTTGCGCTTGCATGCTACTGCATGCTACCTGGCTCACAAGATGGAAGAAGATGCTGAACAAGCAGATAGGCCTTTACTCTTTGCCTTGAGCAGTATAGTGGGAACAGGACCTCCTAGTGCTGCACAGGTAGGGGAAGAGAGCTGGGTGGGTAGCCAGTGAATGCTCTTCTATGCACTCACCTGTTCTCAGGAACCTCTAGAGGCTGGAACCTGATGGACATGCTGGGACACCTGGTCTCCAGCTTCCTTGCTGCAGAGCACCAGAATATCATGCTCTTGCAGCCATTTAGAAGCACTCCTGAATGAGGGTGGGCTGTAGGGCTGTGAAAAATGGCACTATTCCATTTCAACCTGCGTTTCACTGTTTCACCGGAACTGTCTTTCATTTCGAATTTCATTGTAACTCAAAACTGTTGTTCCGTTTTGTTTTGTCGAATCAGTTTAGCTGTTTCAACCCTGTTTTGACGTTTCACCCATAGGCTATAATGGGGAAGCTCAAAACAGCCAATGCTGTTATTTCTGGTCTGATTTGCAGGAATGGTAGCTCCTTCTGAGGGCATGAAGCCTGCCAAGTTTCAAGGAGATAGGTGCAGGGGGTTTGGGGAAACTGTACCTCAAAGTCTTGAAAGCAAAACTCATGTCATGTGTATATGTTAAGCCACAGCATGGTCAAAACTGCAGGCATGCTAGCCTCTGTTGAGGCCATGAAGCCTGCTAAGTTTCAAGGAGATAGGTGCAGGGGTTTCAGGGAAATTGCACGGACAATCAAAACTCGTGACATGGGTGACACTGTGTGTATGTTAAGGTGCAGCAGGGTGAAAGCTGCAGACATGCTATCCCCTGCTGAGGCCATGAAGCCTGCCAGCTGTCAAGGAGATAGGTGCAGGGGAAGTCTGGGTTCTGGGGCCCTGCACCTCTGATTGTTAACAGGCAAAACTCGTGACATGGGTACATGTGCAACTGGCTCTCTCTTAGGGTGCAGGGGGGTGGAAAAAAACTATGCAGGCCTGCTAGGCCCTGCTCCGGCCATGAAGCCTGCCAGGTGTCAAGGAGATAGGTGTAGGGGGAGTTTGGGTTCTGGGTTCCTGCACCCCTAGCTGCTGACAGGCAAAACTTGTGTCATGGGTGCTTGTGCAACTCACTGTGTTTGTCTTAGAGCAGAGGGGAGTGAAAGCTGCAGGCCTGCTAAACCCTGCTGCAGCCATGAAGCCTGCCAGCTTTCAAGGAGACAGGTGTAGGGGGAGTCTGGGTTCTGGGGTCCTGCACCTCTAGCTGCTGACATGCAAAACTCGTGTCATGGGTGCTTGTGCAACTGTGTCTGTCTTGGGGCACGGGGG